GCTGGCAGAGTGGCTTAAGGTGAAGGCCCTGAGTTCAAGCCCAAGTACTACCAAAAAAAATTAGTCTTTTGAATTTTTTGTCTGGCCTTTCATCCACTTGGACAGTTCTGGATTCATTTACTGAAAATTTATGAAGTTTCACAAGAGCTAATTTCCTATTTTTTTCATATTTGCTGTGTTTCTACTTTGTGATTTGTACATCTCTTCCACTTTTGTGTGAGGGTCTTATTATAGAGTAGCCTTCTCTTTAGAATTAAGTCTCAAGTTTTACTTAGAGAGAGAGGAAAATAACACTAACAATATCAATACAGAGATAGAGAAGTATGAGAAAAACCAATTACAGAATTCTACTACCCCACCAATGACTATGCAAAGAAATGAGCAAAAATAATGTAAACTATGAAGTTAATTAAAAGGGAAAAGTAATGTTAATAAAAAAATAAAATGTGGAAAAGGAAAAAAGAAGAAGCAAAGTTAAAGACAAAGAATAGGAAGAAAAATTTTTTAAAGCCAGGCATGGTGGCTGAAGCCTGTAACTCTACCTACTCGGGAGGTGGAAATTGTTAAAACAGCAGTCTTAGATTAGCCCAAGAAAATAGCATGTGAGACCCCATCTCAACCAATGGCTGGGTATGGTGGCATATGCCTGTCATCCCAGCTATGTGGGGAAGCACAAGGAGAAAGGATCACAGTCCAGGCCAGCCTACACATAAAACAAGACACTATCTCAAAAATAACCAATTCAAAAAGGGCCAGCAAAGTGGCTCAAGAGGTAGAGTTCCACTTAGCAAGCATGAGACCCAGAATTCAGCCACCAGTACCATAAAAAAATCCAGTTACAAAATAAAGAAAAACTAATAAGACTGAAAGAGGAATAAAAAATAAGAATTCTTTAAATATTGAAAAGTTTTAAAACAAAGAATTAAAAATTTTAAAAATTAAAAACACAGAAAAGAGTGTCAAGAAAAAGAATTGAACATGCTGCTTTCCTAGTCCTCTAAGAATCTACCAGATCTGTGGTGCGTGTATCTGTAGTGGGTTGTTGCTTTAGTCTATCAGTCCTTCTGAGTTGGACACTGGTGGCTCACGTCTGTAATCCTAGCTACTCAGAGGCAGAGATCAGGAGGATCATGGTTCAAAGCCAGCCAAGGCAAATAGTTTGAGACCATATCTTGAAAAAACAAAAACCAACACAGAAAGGGCTGGCACTGCAGCTCACATGGTAGAGTATCTGCCTGGCAAGTGTGAAGCCCTGAATTCAAACGCCAGTACCAACAAAAATAGTTTTTTCTATTTCCATCATGATTGGTTTTGTAGGCTGTTAGAGGGTTTGGGAATTTCACCTGCAAAAAACCCTCTGGGTTCTCATAATGACATTCAGAAGAAACTACCTGTCTGCTTCTGATGTTGGGGAAAGACGATTCACTTCAAAATTTCTGGGTTTTGCATAAATCCTGGTTTGAAAAACATTTCCCAAATGTGTAATAACTTGGGCAATTCCCAGAGCCCAAGGATTACATGGAAGTAACAGACACTCTCTAATAGCCCTAACTCAACATCAGTAAAAGAGCATCTGAGATATGCTTTCTACTATTGAAATGTCCACTCTCCAACAATAAAAGAAAATGGTAACAAATATGGAGAAACAGAGAAATATGGTTAATCAATGGAAATGACTACACAGAAACAATTTCCAAGAAACTTTAGGCATTGGACTTATTAGAAAAAGACATACTGGCAATTAAGAAATACAATGAAAGGGGTGGAGGCACCCAGGGCGAAAGGCTAACAGAAACAAAGAAATAGCATGTCTGAATGAGATGATATCAATAAAGAAATAGAAATCATCATAAAAAACATACAGAAATAGAAATTAAGTTATAAAGTACAACTTAGTCATTACTAGAGGTGCTGGATGGCAGACTAGAAGAACAACAAAGAATCAACATGAAGATTAAAAAATTGAAATTATGCAGTCAGAAGAAAATAAAAATGAGAGAATGTGTCACTGGTATCTGCAATGCATGAACTGTGGAAAGGAGCTCTCTATAGAAAAGGAAAAAGATGTTAAGAACTCAAATGATAGAGTGTTTGACTGAGTAGAGAGTGTAGGACAGAATTAAATGGATATACAATAAAATCTTTACTTTATTCCTAATTGTATTCTCAGAAAATGTTTGCTCAAAGTAATGACAACTTCATGTAGTAGGTGGTTAGAGCTAAAGATATGTAAAATGAATGACAGCAATTTTTTACAGAATGGGAAACAGGATTTGGAAACAAACTGAGATACCTGCACTACCCCTGAAATACTACATTGCTATTTGAAAGTGCATTTCCATTAGCAGTAAACAGATTTTCACAATCTGGAGAAATCACTAACAATATATAGAAAAAATGCTCAGTTAAAATAAGATAGAAAACATGGGAAGCTTATACATAGTCTAAAATAAATAGTAAACTGTTATATGATACAACCAAATACATGATGAAATTAAATGCAAATTATCTACACAAGACCAATCAACAGACAGTGACAGAACAGATTAGAAAATAAGACTCAAGTTTCTTTTCTTTATAAGGAAAATCATTTCACATGGGATGTGGAGATATTCTTCAAAGGGTTCAAAATTACAGTTGCAAAGGAGAAATAAGTTCGAGAGATGTCTTATATAATATGATGACTGTAACTAAGAACATTGTATTATACTCTGAACAAAACAGTCTTAAAACTAATAAATGATTTTATATCATGACCTTAATACACAACCATGTGGCATTTTACTATATTTACTACAAAGAAGTTTAAAAAAAAAAACAGAACACCACTTATATAGCATAAAGAGACAAGAAGGCTTGGAGGCGTGGCTCAAATGGTACAGTGCCTATCTCATAAGCAGGAAATCCTGAGTTCAAACCCCAGTACCACCAAACAAATAGACTGTGTAAGAAGGGAGGGAGGACAGGAGGATGGTGGAGGAGAGAGGAGAGAAACAGTACCATAAAGAAGCTGGAATGCTAGATGGACAAATCTAATGAATTAAATCATTCCAAATGTTGGCAAAATACACAATAAGCAAACATCCATAAAAGGTCAGGTGATAAACTCATATACATCAAAACTTCTACTAAATTTGAATTATCCATAATCTGCACACCAGCAAATTTCCCCCATTTGTTACAAATTTTTTTTTGATGCATTGGTTAGGGACAAGAAAAGGATAACAATGACAACATCAAAAAACAAAACAAAACAACTCAACCCATAAATAGAGGAATGAGTGAGAAGAGGCTGATGTACAGCCTTTACCCTTCACCACATGTGCAAAGAGTCAGGCAGAGAAGCCACCATGATACCACTGATAGATTAATATTTACTCATTAGCAATATTAAATCATTCAAAACAAACATGACCAAGCAAATGATGCTTACTGACAAATGGTACCGAGCTAGATGAGGTCAGAAAGATATACCAGGGTGTACTTAATCACCTACACAGCAGTCACTTGGATGTTTCTGTTTTTCTTTATTTTTAATGGTTTTAACTCAGGGCCCCACACTTGCTAGGTAGGCGCTCTATCACTTGAGCCATTCTACCAGAGGATGTTTATGTTCTTATTTAAACCTGTCTGAAGCAAATAACTTATTCCAAGAATTCTCTGTTTCCTCAGACCTCTTTACTCTAGTCATGGAGGATCAAATGAAGAAAGTCACCATCTTACACTCACACTATGAAAGATAGGCAAGCAGCCTGTTTCATCTACACTTCATAAGGAACCCACACTAAGAAGATGCTTCAAAAACTTCCTAAGCTTGGAGACCACTCCCTGTGGGCAGGCACACCCCAGAGTGGCTCACTGCCAGGAAATGAATGAAGTAAACTTTAGCCAAGAAATGCAATTCTGGCACCTCTTGGCACCCTTCTCTCCTTTCCTCCCATCATGGAAAGGCTACTTCCTTCATAGACCGAATTTTGACCAGTCCCTACTCACTGCGCAAAGGTCCTTAAAGGTTATAATCTGTGCTGTATTTGTCTGCCATCATTTTTGACACCAAAAATGTGATTTTGTTAAACACCAACCAATTCTCCCACACCAACTGAGTGTCCTGCAACTCAACTCTGACACCACTTCCACTTAGCACCATCCCTACAACTTCAGGGCTCAATCCCACCACACTGCATCCACTGCTGATAAAGAGCCCATAGCATGTGTTTGCTCTGTCTGGTCACCAGTCTACGTCCTGAACAGATACAAGGGTGGCACCCTGAGTCACCTGATTAATATAAATTAAGACATTGTTTGAAAGGGACATATGAAAAACAACACAAGGACACTCCTATTCTCAGGAGATTCCAAGGGTGTTTAGGATCTCTGTGCCAGAAACTGACATAAAGACCAATTTAAAAACATTATATTACATACAGTTACCAACTCTCACATACACAGCAGGCAGAACCCAAAGGTGTCTTTTTCACAGACTGCCCCTCTCAGACTTTCTTAAGTGGCAGAGACTATACTGTCTAGACCAAATACCTGAAGGCAAGAGGAAACCAGTGAAATTATTATTCCTGTGAGCTGAATGGAATACTGGTAAAAAGCTTTGATTAAAGACTTCTAACATCAAGATCTTTTCAGTTTTGGAGAAGCAGCATAGAGCAGACAAACACCCTTTCATTATTGTTACACTGGACCACCCACACCAATTCCCCCTCATCCCTTTAACCACTGACACGCCCAGATGCGTTTTCTCAATTTTTGCCTCAAATATGGTACCAGGCTGGATGCGTGACTCAAGAGGTAGAGCACCTTTCACAAGTGTGAAAGCCCTAAGTGCAAACCCAGAACCACCAAGACAAATGAATAAATATAAATCTCAGCTGGAATTATCACTGCAAGCAAAACATTTATGAAGCAAATTCTACGTTTCTTTCCTTATTAGGGGGCTGCGACTTTGACCCATCTAACCCTGACCCAGCTAAGAAACCATTATCCCCAACCTCGGAACAGATGAGCACAGGGTAACTTTCTCCACTAGGATTCTGACATCCCATCGCCCCTCCTCTCCCAATTTCCTCCTACTGTTGTTCTCTCATCCCGATGACAGCAAGGCCTTCTCTGCCTAAGGTATGAGATGCCTGCACACCTTACCCTTGGGGCTTCCCAACAGTAACACTCTGGTAAAGCAGTAATGTCCTTGCCTGGTGCCCGTGGCTCACGCTGTACTGTAATCCTAGCTACCTAGGAGGCAGAGACCAGGAGGATTGCAGTTCGAAGCCAGCCTGGGAAAAAAAACCCATCACAACAAACAGGGCTGGTGGAGTGGCTCAAGGTGAAGGTCCTGAGATCAAACCCCAGTACGGCAAAAAAAAAAAAAAAAGAAAGAAAGAAGGCATGCCCTACGTTAATCATCATTTCGTTCTAAAACAATGCCGAATCGGTCTGAGGACAGCGCGTCACAGAGGGCAAACATGTCTCCCCTCCTCTCCAACGGCAACCGCGTGTGCACGTGGATCCTCACTTCCAATGGGTCTGAGGGAACGAGACAGGTCGCCGAATTTAAGCCCCATTTCCCTTGAACCTGAAAGTCTCACAGGAAACGCGGGCCCCACCTAGAGAAAGGACAGATGGGTCCCCGCACAGCAGCGCCCCGACCCCGCACGCACAGACGTCATAAACAGCAGGGAGCCGTCCATGGCCTCCCGCATCACCGCACGGTCTGGGAAGACTTGGGTTTGCGGGTGAAGCTGTCCAGCGAGGGCTGCGGGCTGGGACGAAGTCGCCTCAGGGGACTCAGGACAGGACGGGGTTCCGGCCGCTTGACCAGTCCCATCCCACAGGCCGCTGGGGACCCAGGGTCGGGGCGCCAAAGGTGGAATCAGATCGCAGAGTCCGGAGCCCAGGGGACCCAGGCAGCGCCACCGCCGCTTCCGGTTCCAACGGCCCCACCCCCACGGCTGCAGACGGCCTGTGCCGCTCTCACCATTTCCCGCTGTCCAGGTGCGTCCAGATGTCCTCCCTGTGGTCCTGAAGTCAGCGGAGGTGACACAGCTACCGAGGCTGAGACACCCGCAACCTCTTGGCAGCCCACGTGAACCGCAACTACGGGGCCACCAAAAGTACGACAGCTGTGCGGAGCCAATGGCGACCTCCGACCATCGGGGCTCCTCATTGGTCAATTCGGGCGGCTAAAAAAGAGCGTCACTGATTGGCCTGAGACACAACGTAGAATTCTCAACGTAGATAAACAGAACCAATTGACGGACTGCGCTAGGCGCCCACGCCAGGCATGTGTGATCCTAGCTACTCAGGAAGCAGACATCAGGAGGATCACGGTTCGGAGCCAGCCCAGAATAGTTAACAAGACGCTGTCTCAAAAACCTCATCGTAGGGCTTCCAGAGCGGGCCCCTGCTTCTTTTGTACTCAGTGAGCCCGTCCTGCTTATTCCTCCTGAAATGGGGCCACAAGTGTGTTCGGAGAATTCCGGACTTGGTTGCCCCATGCAGAAAACCTGTGATAGCAGGAGAAGATTCTAGGGCAGGACTGGACACTGGAACTGGGAAGGGATTTGGAATGAAACAGATGGCCAAGGCTTTTCTCATGTTTCAATCTATCCATTTTCAGTCAAGAACATAAAAACCACACCAAGGAATACAATTATTCGACGCATGGAGAAATGGAGCTGCATGCCAGCAGTATTCTACAAAGGATGCAAGAGGAAAGAAAAGATATCAAAACCAAAATCTCTAGTAGTGTAGGCACATGGCAGCCACCTAAAAGGGATGCCTGCTATCAAAGGAGTAGGAAGGAAAACACCAATGCCTCCCCTTGCAAGCTTAAGCTGGGCTTCAGCCTGGAGTCACTGGCCTGACTCTGCTGCCAGTCACTCCAGGTTACTGATCTGATTCACACCAATACTGAGGTTTTCACTTTCTTAAATTACCTCTTTGAAATGGTCTTTCATGATAGATGGGGATATTTTTGGGATTGAGATCCTGCAGAACGTCGGGATTCCCTTATCACACCTATGACCTTTCTGACATTCATGAATACATGACAGATCTCCAAAATGTATCATGAGAAGCTGAGAGAATACCTTTTTCTTAGTCATTGCTGATACTCAATACCAAGAATACTTCCATAGCAAATGAGTGAAAAGACACATTTCTTGATTCTGAGAAAATAAAACAGACAGATATGCTGTGAGATTGTAGTAGCAAAGGAGTATGACAATGACTAGCTTGAAGAAAGAGGTGGCATTTTACCTGGAGCCCTGAAAGACAAAGCAGAATTTCCCAGTCAATGTTACAGCGCTATTCTTGGAACAGAAAACTGTGTAAGCAATGGCATGAAGGTGAGCTGGGCATGGATGGAGTGAAAACAGGAAATACAGACCAGGGATAGACACTGAAGGAGCTGAAGATCCACAGGTAATGGTCACAGTTGGGCCAGAAAGAAGCCAGGTAAGAGCTCAAGTATTGTGTGGATTGAGGATAGATTCCAAGTGGAATCAGACAGTAATGTCAATTTTCTCCCTATGGTTATGGGTAGATGTATTCTGCCCCATGTCTAGTTTATTGGAGAAACAGAACTGTAAGGAACGGCTGAACAGAGACTTGCACCACGTGTAGAAAAGAAAGATTTATTGGGGCACAGACTGCTGGGCTGACTCTCGGATTCAGAGTGCAGCAGCCTGGGTATATTGGGTTGTGGGCTTTATAGGAGGGACCATCCATCAAAGAGGGGAGGGTATCTGTTTCAGAGAACAGCTGGGTTTTTGGGCCTTGATTGTCAATGATCACCAGATAGAACGGGCCAACATGTACCACGAGTTGAAAAACAGGAACTTGTTGAGGTTTTGCAAGCAGGGGAATTTTACAAGTGGTTATACTTCAGGGGGTCTGGTTAAAGATAGCATAGCCTTGGGATTTTCCACCCACCCTATGGACACCAGGGACCTAACAAGAACTAAGCTCATGTTTGTTCATTCATAGCACTTTCATCAGTTCACAATTAGTATGGAAAGGACCTGATAAAAGGACAGTCTGTCAACCAAAGAATGCCTGATCTGGGTTTTGGTGGCTCACACCTGTAATCCTAGCTACTCAGAGGCAGATATCAGGAGGCTAGAAGTTCGAAGCCAACCCAGGCAAATAGTTCGAGACCTTATCTTGACAAAAAAAAACTCACAAAAAAGGGCTAGTGGAGTGGTTCAAGGTGTAGGCCCTAAGTTTAAACCTCAGTACAAAAAAAAAGAATGCTGGGTTCAGTGCTCTTATCCTTCACTGATGCTTCTGAAACCCAGAGGCAAGAGAGGGAAAGGAGCCAGGAGTCAGGCCTAAGGGTGAAGAGGACATGACCCAGGTTCACAGTTTGCTACTTCTCACAGTCCTACTTCTCCTGGTATTCACCCCATAGGAGGCAATTCTAGTGTTCCCCATGGAGCTTCTTGACACAATCTTCAGAATCCTGGGTATTGCTGCTTCCCCTATAATCTCACTTGTGTGAAAAGACACAAATAACTTTAGGCTGAAGAAATGTCCCATCCTTTGCTCAAGGCTGACTAACCTGACCTTGTCCCACCAAAGCAAAAGTCAAGTCCCTTCAATACTTAAATTTCCAAAGAGAACTCTAACATCAGAGTAGTAATCTGGCCAAATTCACTCACTTTACAGGAGAATATGAGGTCCAGAAAGAAGAAATAATGAGATTAAGTGTCATGGGTTGGCTTGGCACTGTTCTGGCCACCAGCATGGTACCACCTCTGATTAACGAGCATTTGGTGCCTCTCTTCCTGTATATATGATGCAGTCTCCAGAAGTGACTGAGTCTGAAGACAGCTCTGTGAAGTTGGCCCAGGGATGTTTTTGTCCCTCTGTTTCCACACTGGCAAATGGTAAGTACATGTGGACATCAAGCCCAAAGCATGTAGACACCCATTCAATGTAGGTGCTTGGCTGAACAATCGAGTTCCTTCCACTTCCCAATACTCTCCATTCTTCTTGCTCAATCATTCATTCCAAACATATTTCCTGAGCCGTGAATGTCAGATCTGGCCCCTCTAGCTAATGATTGGGAGCTATGGTGCCTGCTGGGAAACTTGTGTGGTGGTGGTGCTGGACTGGTCTTGCCAACCCCAGTCCCACAGCATGGAGAAGGGAATGTGAGGACCTTCCATTCCTGTTTTGAGGTCATAACCTCCATCACCTCCCTGTCTTCCCCACCCATTCTCTCCACTTCATCATTTAGGGATTTTATGCAGGTTCTTCTATATCCACATGATCGATTATGTCATTGTTGATGATGGTTAATTCAGTTTTAGTCCTTTTCCCTTGCCCAGAGATCTGGGGGCATGGCTGAACATTCCAACCCTGTGACAATGACATACAAAAAATAACTTTAAATGCTCCAACCTTTAACCAATCTTTTTTCTTTCTAGCTACCTGAGAATTCCTATTCTGAAGCTATCTAGGGCTTCCAGATGACCAGTCATCTCATCAGCATGAAAGAGACAGTCTACACTTCAGAGATTCCAAGTCTGAGGAACCCTTGGGTCAGAAACCTCAGACTAAGACATCTAGGGTGTAATATTCAAGAGTGCCTCCATCAGCAGGTGTGTGGCAGGTTCTCAGCAGAGTAGCAGCTAGGATCATGTCCTTGATATGATCCCAATTATCACCATGGGCTGGCAGAGTGGTTGCCTAGCAGGCCCTGGGTTCAAACCCCAGCACTGCCAGATACCCAAAGTTTTCAATGACTTTTTTTTTCTGCAGTACAGGGACTTAAACCCAGGGCGTTGCGCTTGCTAGGCAGGCGCTCTACCACTTGAGCTACCAGTATTGAGTGTTTTCAAGACAGGGTCTTGTAAATATTTCCCAGGCTGGCTTTAAACCACACTCCTCCAGATCTGTGCTCCTGAGTAGCTAGGATTACAGATGTGAGTCACCAGCACCTGGCACACTCAACAACTATAAAGTAGGACCACAAAGGAGAGACCTGGAGAGTTGTCCAAAACTGGGAAAAGCTGAGTACTGAAATGGGAGAAAAGACAAG